GAGATTGAGGGTGATTGTTATAATGGTGTTGTGATGACTTGCTGGGCGATGATTTTAAAGATGATGGGTTTCCAGGTGGCTCAAATGTTGGGAGTCTCCGGTCAAGATGACTTTCGGCTCAACCTTTGAAACGTTTCATCTTTTATTTTCTTCTTAGACTGTGTACCTCCTCTTTTGACGCGAGAAACTCCGTCCTTGGAACACATCTGAAATTAATAAATATCAGTACTGCAATTCATGAATAGCCCTTGTTTAAAACTTTAATGATGACCAGCAATGTCAAGGTTGCAATAATGGCTATTGTGTTTGGTTTAGATCACTTGATGGTTGGGTGGTATTATCTGTATATATGCCTGTAGTTAAATTAATGTCTATCTACATGTAAGGAAAACCTATGAATCCTTTGGTGCAAAATCAATTTTGACTCAAGGGTCATATTTGAACAATTTTGGTAGTGGTCCATTAAATAATATTCTCTGCAACACAACAAAGCCTTAGTCTTTTTATGGATTCGAGAATTCTTTAAATTTTCACTACAATCCTAAAAAGAAAATCTGTAAGCCCCTTGTTAGGGGCCAATTTTATCAACAGGTTCATCATTGAACCTATAATGGATGGGCCAGTTTTTAAACCACAGGGTCATCATTTAACCTACATTGTATAATGATTGTGACCCACAAGGAGATGTACATGCCAATTATCTTTGGCTTAGCCCTTATGGTTTCAGAAAAGATTTTTTTTTTAATTTCCCATAAAACCTATGTAAAATCACGTGACCTTGTGACGATGTCTAAAACAGTCTTAATAGAGACCCACTACACCTTGCCACATGCCAAATATCTAAGCTTTAGGCATTGTGATTCTTGAGAAGATTTTATATTTTTTATTTTAGTTTTATTCATTTCTAAGGATGGTATATCTCATTACCCTGCATTAACAAAATTAAATAAAAAAGTAGGAATTTTTAATGTTAATTTAAATAAAGTAGGCCTTTAGTCATATTATATTGTGATCATCGATTTATGTTTTGAGCTTTTTGCTGCCATGCCACTTTGCCTAAACTTCGCCATGTTACGATGTATTTGTTTGAAAATAAGCAATTTTAATTTTGATTGAATGTTAAAAACCGTCATTATTCATGGAAAGTTTGTCAGAGGCATCGGGAGAAATAACGAAATGGCGTTGTCTGTTCATCCCTCTGAATCCAAAACTAGTTTCTTTAGAATGGATTGGTTGTATATCAAAATTTCAGTACTTTACTTTATTCATACATAAGAAAACTAGAGCAAAAAAACCTTCGTGATGAAATCCATTAAATCATTTTATTTGAAACCACGATACGGGTATTTAAGTTATTAAAAATAATTTGCTTATACCTTAAGCGCACCAGAGCTGGCACATGGTGTGCTTTTGGATCGTTCAATGTCCGTCGTCTGTCGTTCATGCACATTCAGGTGGTTAAAACTATAATGGTCACATTTTTACCTTAATTGTCACCAAACTTAGTCAGCGATTGCAGTGATTGTACGAGTTTAGACATGGGTCATCTACGATGAAAAACAAGTTACATAAACCAATAAATAGAACTTTTGTCAAGACTCTAATTGTGACTGTTTCATTTCAAATATCCTGGAAATTTGTCAGAAATATTGTTCTGATGTTTTCTAGCTCAAGTACAAATATAGGTCAAAATCTATGTCACAGCCCAAATATTGAAAGCCTTAAAGGCTTCTGTTTCGGTCCAAAATTCCAGGATTTTTTTCTGAAAGATTGTTTTAATGATTTCTAACTAAAATTTATATGTTGGTTACCCGAGGTCAAAAACTGGGTCACACATAGATATAGAAAATCTTGTTAACTATCTTGAGGTGACATTTTTAACCCAAATTTCGGAAAGGTTTATGCGTTGATTTCTAGCTCACTTTCGAATATGGGTCCTTTTGGGTCAGAAAGTAGACCAGATGTGGAAAAACATTGTTAACACTATAATTTAATATTTTCAGGCCAAATACGATTCGTATTCTGGAAATACAACAAGGCTGTTTAAATTATTTCTATGGATAATTTGAATATGGGTCATAAGGGGTCAAAAACTAGTTGACACAACCTGAATATGGAGTGAAAAGCTTTGTTTATATTTTCACTATTATTGCCGTTGCAGATAAAAAAGTAATGATATCAATCTAGGATTATGCCATTATATCTGCTTTTCGTTCATAGCTAACAATATTAATTGTTACTTAATAACCAGTTGAGCGATAGAAGGGGTCATCATGACCCTCTTGTTAGCTCGCCAGAGCCGAACGTATTTGATATTAGTATCAAAGGGGGATACTCCGGCGTCCGGCGTCTCCTCTAAAACTACTGGGCAAATTTTCTTCAAATTTGGAGCTAAAAATAGAATAACCTTTAAACATCTTCTACTACAAAACTATTTGATGGATGATCACCAAACTTTGTCTGTAGCATTCTTGAGTAGTCTTTTATCAAGTTTGCTCATATTAATTTGATTGGCCCCTTTTATGTGTCTCTAGGGCTAAAAATAGAAAAAAAACCTGAAGACATCTTCTTCTACAGAACTAATGAATGGATGATCACCAAACTTTGTCTGAAGCATTCTTGGGTAGTCTTTTATCAAATTTGCTCATATTAATTTGATAGGCTCCTTTTAGGGGTCTCTAGAGCTAAAAATAGAAAAACCTTTAAACGTCTTATTCTATAGAACTAATTGACGAATGATCACCAAATTTTGTCTGTAGTGTTATTAGGTAGTATTTTATTAAGTTTGATCATATTTATTTGATTGGTCCCTTTTAGGGGCCGCTAAAGCTAAAAATAGAAATACCTTTAAATGTCTATTTTTACAGAACTAATTGATAGATGATCACCAAACTTTGTAGCATTCTTGGGTACGCTTTTATCAAATTTGCTCATTTTGATTAGATTGGTCCCACTTTAGGGGCCGCTAAAGCCAAAAATAACGAAACCTTTGAACATCATTGCCTACTGAAATAATTGATAGATGATCACCAAACTTTGTAGCATTATTAGGTAGTCTTTTATCAAGTTTGCTCATATTAATTTGATTGGCTCAAATTTAATATTAGAAAAATAATGACAAAGGATAATTTCCAACACTGAAAAGCAGTTGTTTCTGGTGAGCGACTCAGCGTCATGGCCCTCTTGTTGTCAAGTCATGTTTGATTAAATATAATAAGAGATTTGTATCATACGACAGTTTAAGTCTATTCAACTGTGTGATTGTGTTTAAATACTTATAATATTGTTGTTTTTAAGGTTACAAAGTGTAAATTTTGAAATATGTTTTCTTGCTGTTATACACTGTTTTTTTGTCTTCAATAAAAAAATATGCATTGAATGGTTTGTTTCTGTTATTGTTTTAGCTGACAATCCGAAAACAACAGGAAGAGCTTTTGTACACATCCTCACATTTGCCTTAGGTTTTGCTTGCAGGTTTGTGTCAGGGAAATGGTCCTCTATGGTTATTTAACATGGTGGACACAGTTCCCATAACTCGAGCTGGACCTATTGCAGTTATGCCCTTTACTTCGTGTAAAACACTGCAATTAGGACATCTCTTGTTATGCTTTTGGTTCAACGTTATAAAAAAGAGTAATGTACATTGCTGCTTGTCACTGTTGCTGGACTTGATTTTAAAGTCATGCCATTATAAAAGTATATAGGTTCCAGATTTACTGATGGAAGAAGATCACCAATGCTTCATTGTCTCAGCCACTAGCGGGGACCGAATAGAACCACTCACTTCCCTTAAGCTAGTTGGATAGCTTCCTCTCGTTGGAAATTTAAATTTTTGTGTCGGCGAATGGCAACACAAGTGAAGTCAGCGACCTTATAGTCTGGCCAGGGATGACAACAAATTACAATATAAACTTGAATATAATTATCAAGAAAAACACGTTTTGATATCAGAAAGGAAATAAGATTTTGTCCAATAACATTTATATGAAGTACGTTTCTTATAAAGATTTTGTAGAAAGAGTGATGTCCTAAGTCTGAGCTTTGAAGCTACCTGACGACTTTGAATTAAATGTATCTTTCACTAGCTTTTAAAATTTGTGTTAGGACGCTAATCGTTACATTTTTGAAAGCTTACTATACAGCAGGTCAGTGGTTTTACTTATCATCCTGACAGAATGTGTACGTGTATCATTTAAACCTTAACTAAATACAAATTGAATATAGTTGGAAAAAAATCTTATCTCAGAATTCCTTTATTAGTCAGCAGAGCAACACTCTTTGTCGGACAACATTTGGTTGTTCACAAGAGGCGTTATTCTACGGAAATAAGATATTTTTGATCAGCTTTACTGTGGGAAAACTTATTATTTTTGTTGTAGATTTTTGCACTTTAGAGGATTGCACTGCAGAGGTTCCACTGTATATTACTAAAGAAAAGAAGACCTGTTTTGTAAAGTTTAAGACCAAGCGGTAATCTGTTTTTAGTCCTTTACTATTAAGATTCGCCTGTATCTTTCACGCTGTTGGTATCGTTGAGCCAGGTCTTCAACAACAGTCATTTCAGCTTCTTCTTGAAGTGTCATCTGTTTCAGCTGTTGTCCGTTTGAAGGTATATAATGCCTCAGAAAACATCGTTTTATTCTTCTTTAGAAAGGGCAAATATGAGCTCTATTACGTTTAAATAAGTGTTTACAGCATGTGAGATGCTTATCGTCTAAATGATATAGCGATAATGTGAAATTCTTTATCATAAAAGTAGTAAAATATAAAGAAAAAAGTATTTTGACTGCTATACAAAATACTAAACGTTGGTTAAGGTAACTGGCCAATGGGTAACTTTTTTAGAAACTGTATAACTGACATCAAAACAAAAGGCTTTAGAGATATAAAAGTATTTCTGGGGCATAATGGACCATTAATCGAAAGAAGTAAACTGATTTATTTTATTGTTTGCTATATCTATTTGATTATAAATTAAAACATAGGAACACAGATTATTATTTGTTGTTTATTTTGTATATGTATACAATAAATTACAAAACGAAAGTTGTTATTGACATTGCGGCTGCTTATGATGGTTATTATTATGTTGTAAGTTCTAAGATCGCCTAAATATGTCACAACGGTATTTCTGTAATAATTTTACATTCAGCCTTTAGCAATAGCTTGTCATCTCAGCTTCGCTGCAACAGTATCTGTTCCCTGAAAAAAAAAAATATGAGGTAAAAATAATTATAAATTTAAAATCCACGAGAAACTACCTCTTTTACTTTACTGCAAATTCATTGGGCTCTTCAGGAACAAGGCCTGCTTGATGACTTCGTGTATGATTCGAACGAAATACATGGGACTCTTCTTTGGACAGTAAATGTAGAATGTCACCAAATAACCTTTACAGTGTCAAAGTGTCTTAAAATCAGTTTGAAAACTGCTATATAATGTGATTCATTAACAAACAATTGAACAATTGAAGTTTCAGAAATTTGTTGTTATGAGAACTCCAGAATTACGACATATTCAAGTTTTCGAATAAGCAATAGACCAATGTCTCGGAACTTCTCTGAACTTTTTCGCCTTAAATACGTAATCAGTAACAATTATTGGAAATTTAATCTCTGACCTAACAGAGTACAGATTAGTGTTAATTCTAAAAAATTAAGCACAAAATCCACATCTCAACAGTGTTGTAATAAAAGGACCATTATGCCCCAGAAATGCTTTTTATTTTTTACTTTTCAAAAGCTTTTTTGTTTTGGTGTCCTGTTTAAGTTTTCAAAAAGTTTTTTTTTTAAAGAAAGAACAAAATATTCGTTTCTAATGCATAATATACTTTTACTTATGTAACAGTGATATTAAGACTATTTAGAGTATAGCTGTCATGCATTGTTCCTTTTTTCATCAAGCTTCATATCTAGTTACGCCCGAACGTGAAAATTACTCCTGAATTGTGCAAAAGTAACGCCGATTTTACTGTCTAAATGTATTTTGTATACTGCATACGAACGGCTCATTTCAAGAATGTATTTGCACATTAAGGCAATTCGTGCTATTTGTGCCTTGATTTCTTTTTCTACTCGTTATGCTCGGTATCAATGTTAATCAAGGAGAAGTAGAAAATAACCTTTTTAATATGATCGTCGTGTTTCTTCTCTTGTTACTTTCGCTTTCGCCTTTTTCGCATCTTCCTTTTCTAAAAAGTTTACACATTTAGGAGTAGTTGGTCTGACCTTACATAATAAACTCATTATCTTGATATACCTAAAAGTACAAAATGAATTCTTGTCATTAATTCGATAATATGCTGATCGTAAGGCAAATGCTAAATAGATGAAATAAAACTGCAATAAATGACTTTTAGAAATTTGGCTACAGTTAAAGTAAACAGTATTATATCACGCTGATAAACCTGAAACTAGCGTGTTTGTCTTAATGGCGTCCATAATCTTAGATTGAAAAAGGTAACCACACCTATAAACCGTTGGTTAAAGTGAACAATTTCACTGGTTTATGTGGGAAAATGACACAATCAAAATAAAGAAAAAGCTTAAAACTCCAAATGTTGGTATGCCCTCCCGTCTTTCCATCCTGGTATAAAACTAAGATGTTGTTTAAACTTGGCATAAATGATATAATAAATGCTTTGAAACATTCCATTTAGCTTATAGAAAACAGATCTACGAGTGACAGCATGAACCAAAAATAACGTGCCCAGGGCATGCAAATTTTCACCTCTTATATGATGTTTTGTCTAAATTTGATAAAGCATACAATTCCTATGGATGATTACATGCAACATATTAAAAGATGGGTGAAGATGGGTTTTGTCTAAATTTGATTTATATAGTGCCCGATTGAATCAAAACCCAACAAACAAAGCAACGGACTTTATTGTGATAAAAATATAAAGCATACAATTCCTATGGATGATTACATACAACATATTAAAAGATGGGTGAAAACAAGTCCTTACTTATGGTTCTTTTCTACTTCACCAGTCCTCCAGGGAGGGGGTTTGCACGATATCATCACAACACATACCATTAGTATGACTATGATACGGGCGTCCATGTTTCTGTTGAGAAATGAAATGAAAGATTTTGTTTAATTATTTAAAGAGGATATGGTGCGGTCGCGAAAATATATGAAAAATAATAGTCAATAATTGTTCATTAATTTCATTTATGTAATTGGTTTAAAAAAAATTTATCTCATTATTTATATCAAATGATATATGTTTAATTATGCCACATGTTGGAGCCTTTCTGCTAGGTTGTCTATGCTACTGCAAACTCCAAACTAGTGCCTTCTCGTTTCTAAATAAATATTTAAAGATGTTTTGTAATAACAAGCTCGACAAGAAAAACAAGAACACCACAAGCGGTGAAAATGCCAGTCTCCTGCAACGACCATCAGCCACCAATTTTTATATATTACATGTTATTAAAAGTCAAAAGGGACATTATTCCTATGACATTGTTTTCAGGATAATTCCATTGTCCTATCATGATAATCAAGTATTCCTAGTGTTACGTAAAACTTTTCTATATTTCATAATTTGAAATCATTTTAAATAATAAGCTTGAGCTTTTTTTTTTCAAAATTGAACACAAATATGTAAGAAATATCAACATTGAATAGCTATCATCTAAATATATCATCATCATCATCATTAGCATCATCGATCGTTATTATTAAAACCATCATTATCATAAGTATAAACATTATTTATGATATTTATTATCTTCTTATAAATATATAATTAGACTGTTACCTTATTCTGTAAACGTATATCCTTGATCACACTAAACCGACGTAATAAATGGTCGACAGCTGATCGCTTGATAAATCCAGACAACCAGAATAAACGAAGAAAAATGTGAAGGAGAAAAAACACCATCAAACCAAACCGTCAGAGAATAAAAATTAACATTCGCTATGTATTTATTTTTATATTGGGTTAATACTATTTATCAGTCACCGTTCAGTTTTATTAAATGCCTCTTAAAGTAGAGGATTATGCTAATACATCTTCTCATTTAATAACAAAACAAATCTGGACCAATAGAGATAAACACTTGTTGATAGTGTGACGGAAACATACCTTATAATTCATATGATTACCTTCTTTTCTTAAACGACATCCTTTTTGTAAACGTTCGCCGTTTGCATTAGAAAATATAGGACAATAGTTTCATAAATTAATCAAGATAGTAGGCATTCTAATTATTTTATTATCAAATAGATATAAGTTAAAAGAATCATTAGCAGTGTTTATATTTTAAATTGTTAGAAATAATTTCAATTTACCGACTCTAATAAAATTTCGTTTGAATCAGTATCAAGACATGTTTATTATTTTTAGCCAATCAAAGTCATTGTTTTTTATTCACTACGGAGATGGTGCATTTATATTATAAAACAGGCCGTGCAAAAGACTCAATTTATTGATTCAGGCCATTCGTTATCTCAATAGGTAGAGCGTTGGATTGTGAATTGGATGACCCGGGTTTGATTTCCGGACGGCGCAGGTCACTTCATTGTGATTGATCATGAAATGCTTTCAACGGTCATTCGCACCGTACCTCTGCTCTGGCATGTACAGAAGTATCAGTTCCTTGCGAAAGTGAAGGCAACTAGTACTGGTAAACTGCTTTGACAGCTTGCCCAGGAACGATGCGGTGGTTGAACTGTGCTGTGAATTCAATGTGGCTTACTGCCGTGATCCGGAGTGAAAACTACCACCACCGTCAGAAGATTCTTCTTCTCCAAATCACGACGGCGTGCACGTTGCGGAGAGAGCACACGGCAGGTCAAGGTCAAATCATCTCAAGTACCAGAGATGATAAGGTGACCTGTCATGACTACCTCTAGAGGGTGGCGTTAACAACTTCGTCGGAAAGCTGACTCATTGGCAGTTTTGTCGACTCTTTCACCACCATTGAACGAAGAACAGGCTCCAGGAAGTTTTGCCATGAAAATGAGCCAATGGACCGGCAAGGATGCTTTAATCTCGGACATATAGTTATTTCGGCGCCGAGTTTAAACAAACCTAAAATCACACGTGAGTAGAGCCGTCCGGTTAACTCAATAAATAGAGCGTTACTCAAGTTCGATTCTTGGTCGGCGCATGGGTCACTTTCGTAAATCTTTTCTACGGTCATTCGTCTTGTACCTATGCCCTGGTATGTACAGAAGTTTCATTTCCTTCAAAGCTGAAGTAAATGCAACTAGTACTGGTTTAACTGCTTGACTGCCTGCCCAGGAGCGATGCGGTAGCTGAACTGTGCTCTGGTAAATTCAGTGTCGCTTACTGCCGTTATCCGGAGTCAAAACTACCGCCTCCACCACCACCAAAAGAATATGTGAGGAAGAGCACAGCACTTTTGTTTTACCTCGACTATATGAAGTATATGGAGCGCTGTCTTACTCGCCCCGGCGTCCGCTTCCGCGTCCAGATTTCAGATTAAAGTTTTGGTGCAGTAAAATATTTTCCACTATAACTTTGTCATTTCTTAAGGTATCAACTTCAAACTTCAAATGTATGTTCCTTATCATCAACCCCATCTTATGTGACAAGGCCATCCATAAAAATTGTTTGTTTGTAGTGCTCCGACCGACCCATGAAAATGGCCCCGACTCTAAAAAAATTTTACACCTTCGAGGATTTTTTTTTTTTTTTTTTTTTTTTTTTTTTGAGATCATTATGTACCCCACTCTGTTAAAAAGATCTTTCTCCAATAACTTTTCAGACAAATTTTGAACTGAGAAGTAGAAGAATTAAAGAATTTTATTCCAAAACCAAAATAAACGCACGCTTTTCATCGATATTTTGCCAAACTTCGACCCCGAACATCGGCGATTTCACATTCGCCAGAAACCTTAAAATTTCGCCAAGGGCATAAAAATTCTCAGTTTCCAAGCCAAACATGTGAATGAATTGTTCTTTTGTTAATTATTTAACATTAAATCTTATAAAAGTCGATCCCCTTTTGAAGATATTTGCTCAAATAATTGCCGATCGGATGAATCTCTTACACACTGTGTGAAGCTGTACTCGATTTTCCTATTCATTCCACTAAATGCTGCCTATATCGAGGGTTCAAAGGTAAAAGGTTATAACTGCCACTTTTGCCGAAATCGACTTTTTATGTTTTTTATAATGTACTTATTGTCCTTTATGTCTGACGAAAATATTATATAAATATTCAATCCTTATAAGGGCAAAAAATTAAAAAGTATTTTGTGATAACTTCTTTTCTACAAATTATTTAGGGGTAAAAGGTTCTAAGTGTACTTATTACCAGTTGTTTACTTGTTGTTCCACATGTTGTTAGTAATCTGTAGTGGAAAAAGGTTATAACTGATTTTATCACCTTTTTCCCCTGACAGAATGCTGCATTCATACAGTTCACAGGCACTATCTGTTATCTCTTTTCCCACGAAATTTATCTTTTAGAATTAAATGCAGCCAGAATATAACCGAATATGAAAGACAGAAAATATTCAGTACATACTGGTCAATGGGTGATTACATAAGTCAGAGGCAATTCATTTGTTTCCATGTTGCCATAAAGAACCAGAGAATGTATCTAAACAGAGAACAAAACAAAGACCTATTTCGAATTCGTTTTTCACACAGGTAGAAAAGAGGCGTGAGGGATGTTGCACTTATTCATTATCTCTCATGTACAGACTCAATCAAACCGAGTCTGCAATTTTTAAGTAATTTTGTTGTGATTAATGCTTCCGAGGGATCACTTTGTTTCCAGAATTTTTTTACTAAAAACTTTCGATGTCGGTTCCAAAACAGTTGCAAACGCAGTTAAGCACAAAGTGGCAGGGTTATATGTTGGAAATGACAAGAGAGGAAAGCTGTGCCTGGAAATAAAACCACGGAATATCACAGATCATTTGTAAATAAACATCGAAAGCTTTCCGACTGTTGAATCACACTACACACGAAGACCCCAACAGGAAGTATCTAACGCAAGATTTAAATATAAAACGAATATACTCACTGAATGTAGAAAAATGCAAAGGACAAAATAGAAAGTGCGTTTCAGAGGCTGTGTACAGAATCATTTTTAGTACAGAATATAACTTTTTTCTTCCGTCCTAAGAAAGATCAATGTCCACTCTGCAATCTGTATGACACTTTGAGAATAGAAGATAGAATAGATGAGGCAACAACAGTAAAATATCAAGTACACCAAGTGACCAAAAAGAAGAAAAAAAACAGTGCAAGAATGCAAAAATCAGCCGATAAAAACGCACAAAGAAAGATCCAAAGTTTTCTGTGTCGGCATTTGATATCCAGGCTATTTTGAAAACACCACTCAGTTTAATTAGTGATCTTCGTTACAAAAGAAAACTGTGTTGTTGCAATTTGTCATTCTATGAACTGGGAAATGGTAACGGGACTTGTTATCTGTTGGATGAGACACACGGGGAAACCAGGCTCGTGCAAAGTAGGAACTTTTGTGTACTTGTATGTAACCTCTGTTGCAAGTAAGACATCTGGTATTGAAGAAGTGACATTGTATAGTAATGCATGTGGAAGACAGAATTGCAATCAGTTTGTTGCAAGTTGCTTAGTTCACTGTGGTCCAAGATATACCTCACATCAATGGTAAAACCACACATTTCTTGAAATTGGCCATTCATTAATGGAATGCAAATTCCATACATGCATCTATCAAGCATGCAAAAAGCCTTACAATAGTTCATGTTCAATCGCAGTGGGAAACAGTTATATCATAAGCACGCCGGAAGCAACCATATATTGTCGTTCTAATAAAATACAATGACATACTAGATTACAAGTTGTACAAAGAACAAAACTTTGGCTCAAAGAAAATCGATGTTGATGGTGAACGTGTTAATTGGCTGAATATATATAAAATACATGGTTGATTTAGGGATGGATAAGGCTTATCCGGTGAGCTAGAAAGTGTATCTTGGCGAGCTTTAGCAAGCCAAGATTCACTTTCGCAGTGAACCAGATAAACCTTCTCCAGCCCGACATCAACCATGTATTTGTTTTATCCTGCTTTTAATAATGTTTTTAGAATAATTAAATGGTTTCATTCTTCTTTTCCCCCGATAAAATAACATCTATATGTAGTTTTGTTTTGCTGCTAACCATGTGACGTTATCATATGACGTAACGAATGGAGATAGATAAAGACAAAAATACAGTATTGTTGTGAGCTATGGTTTTGTGGTTAGTGAGTTCAAGGCAGTTAGGTTAATGCAGAAGAAGAACAGAAGCAAAGGAAAGTCTCTTAAGGCTCCACGAAAGGCTTATACAGAGAACCTTCCAATATCTGCTGCAAAAGCTGATTTGATGTCACTTATTGCCTCTGGAACAATTTCGAAGGAGTGCGAATCATACTATGAGTCATTGCCATGCAGCAAATCTATAAAAGACAAACTTTCAGTGCCTTCTGTTAGTGAGAGTGAAGAAGATGAGTGGAGGTCATAGAATAATAAATGACAAACATTCACATTTTGTGACATGAAACAGTAGTCTTTATTTACTTAACTATGATATGGGTCACTAATATCCTTAATTGCTGATATCTGGGGTCTGTTTGACTTCAGTTCGATTATATACCAGAGAACATTCAAAATAAATGAAATTTGTAAACTTAGATTTTAGTGCGTATTTTCGTAAACTTTTTAGTTATTAATTTATTTCTGTAGAATCTAAATATTGAGCAGGTACATATTTCATATTTGTATGAATGAAAAGTGTTAATTGTGTGTACGAGTATTAATGTGCATTGTGTTAATTACATTACATAAGGTTCTTCAAAGTAAGGACATAATTGATAAATTTGCAACAGTAACAATTACTGAAACATCTAAATTTTTCAGAGGAACAAGGCTTTAACTGCACTTATTACCTTTTACCACAGTTTATCTCTAACTTTTTTTTGCTAAACCTTCAGAAGTAAAAGGTCGTAAGTGCAGTTATTACCTTTTACCGCTCAAACTTGTAGTCTTGACAGGATCTTAGTACATTTATTACCTTTTACTTCTGTAAAATGATATTATTTTGATCTTAGAACTTTAAAACAAACTATAATTACAGTGTTTTATCAGCACCAAGCAATGTAAACTAAACAAAATATGATCTAATGTAGTCAACAAATATGGGAGAATCA